CATTAAAATCGCCCATGAGTATAAAGGAGTGCATGTTCGGCACTTCACACAGAGCAAGCTGTATTTTCTCAAGGAAAGTATCATATTCTCCCTCCAAATTGGGCGCATAGACATATACCACGTCAGCGCTTTAGCCTGTTGTAAATTCATTCGGAGGATTGCCACCTCCCCGCTGACAGACTTCCAGTCAATGATAGTACCTGCGAGGTTGGGTTCACCGGTCTGAGCGCGAGTCGTGATATCGACGCCTGAGTAGAATGGCTCTCATCCGTTGAGGTTCAGGAGTTCTTAGCGTCGGCGTTTCGTTTTACGAGTGTCCAGCAGTGTCGAGTTGGTACTTTATTGTTGAAGATTTGTTCCAGTTTCCGACTTTAAGCTCCCACTGGTGGCGTCGTTCTCGTGATCCGTTTTCTGACGTGCTGTAATGGCATCGCGCTGTCTGCCTCCTCTGTTCAGAACGGGTAGCGACTCTGTTGCTGACTGGTATCTTCGTCGTCGTTCCGTCTATGTTCGTCAGCCGTTGTTGTGCTGCTACGCCCCCGGCTGGCAGATAGCGACGATCAGGTTCTGATCACCGACTTTTCGCAGTCTGCCTCAAGTCCTTACAGCCTGCGCGGCCCTTGGTTACCCGGGCGACGACCGAGCCGGTATAATTTTCGATGGCGTCAATACCATGAGTGGCAGGTAGCGAACTTTTACGGAGACTTCGTTACGATCTCCAACCCTCCTCCCTTCTCAGCCATTCTTGGGACCGTCAACGGAGGAGTTGTGGAGTCTTATTTAACGTGGAATTCTGAACGTAAGTGCCTATTGTAAAATGATGATGCAGACCTCGAAGTGTGAACAGTGTCTAGTGATACTATTTATGTCGACTAAAATTGTTTTGCGTTGCATTTTATGTTAGTTTAGAAAACAGAAATACCCGACAGTAGTGAGGGTCGTTTTAGTCGGACATTGGATTTTAACTCTGAAATTGGTGAGATACCAACGCTATCTTTTTCTAATACAGATGCACCACGGCTGCCGAACTTGGAGTGTAGTTTGGGTCGAACTCATCCTAGTGCTGCTAGCCTTGCTTAATACAGAGTTCATCTCAATGTGAAAATGCTAAATGAATAAGCACTTGTGAAAATGAGAAGATAGCCACAAATGGAATTTGTACGTTTTAATGCACGGAATACAGGTAGCTGATAAAGTGAGCATATTTGGAATTTACTTCGCAGCTTTCTTTCTCTGACCACTCTGTTGTCTGTCTGTTGCTGTTTGCCACGTTCTGTTGTGATGATAAAACTTCACCTAACCGTTCGACCACACGTCCGTCAGGTCTCGATTGATGTGTTTGTTGAGGTTATCACCTTCAGCTGTTTGCGTTAACAAGACGTCTCTGGTTTGTGATATCTGCTTTATTAGCAGCTTTAGACTACTTTTGTTATACGCCATACGCCACCAGTTACTGCATCGTAGAAGGGAATATTCCTTTTCCTCTTCACAAGCAGATCGATCTTTACTTCGTTCCTTCTTGTTGCATGCTGGCCTGTCGGTCGATGGTTGCTATGTTTAAGCTCTCACACGAGAAGCTCGTAAGCCGGAGTGAACGGTTTATGCTCTACCACTTTGTCTAGCAGGGCCAATGTTATTTGTTTAATCTCCATATCTATCGAGGTCATTTGTGCCCTGAATTGAATAGGCTCATGGTTCTGCCCTTACGCAGTCTTTCCATTTAACCCTCATTTTGCATCAGAGCCAGCGTTGCTGGGCTCAGTTCAAGCGTCTTTCTTGCTCCTTCGTTAGAACCACTGTTTCCATGCTGTACAGCAAATCGACCTGACAGAGGCAAGGTACAGATGGACTTTTGTGTAAAGATTTACGCATTTCTCAACGCAAATATCTATCATCAGGTTTCAGGAAACACTAGAGCAAGTGCATTCTTCGTGTTTCACTACTGCTGGATGATGCACTCGCTGGGGTTGATGGAGTCAAGATACTTAGATTGATCAACCGTCTGTAGCGCGTCATTCTGCTCCATTTTTAGATGAGCTGTGTACCGTTAGGTATGAAGGAACTGGCAGTTAAAAGCTATATATGTCACCTTGGTGCAGATATAAAGTCAGAAACACCAAGGCATCCATGACTGATGACAAGGAGCATAGATTAATGCCGTGTTTTAATTTCCATGAAAAAAGAGTGCCACTAGAACAGCTCAGTCGCAAAAGTGTTAGGGTGACTGACCTGTCAGCGGTTACAGACTTTTCTTTTTGTTCTTTCAATTTGTTGTGCAGGTTGTGCATCTAACTGGCAATGGAAAACTCATTAGTTTGGATCAGGCCTGGGCTGCTCGGTTTCATTTGTGGATAAACGCTGCCCGTTGATTGGTGAAGGAGGGAGACCCGCGACAAACTGTGTTTATCACACAGCTAAGGTTATTACGCCTTTGTAAATAAAGCATTCATGGTTGATAGCTTCATAAATTTCTGAAAAAAACTACGGCGATTCTGGTCGTAGAACATCATTTGACATCCCAACGATTACGGACATCCGTTGTTTTTTTTTCATAGCCGTAGCATTGAAGCTATCTATGCGTTTCTGTTGGAGACTCGCAGCATGACCTCTGTAGGCGTTACTTATTTGCTGTTCATTGGTGTCGAAGTCAGGTAGTCGTCTGAAGGGCGAATGATCATTAGGCGAGGTTCGTTTCTTGTTATGCGTTTGCTTCTGTTTAGGGTTCCGACTCCGGTCAAGCGTTTCTGTGCCGGTTCCCTTGCCGGCGTTACTGCTACCTGTTGTACTTATCCATTAGATTTAGCCAAAGCACGACTGTCTACTACGGCGGCTTCGCAGTAAGCGTACTCCGTTGCGTAGTTTGGTTGGCGGTCGCCTTCGTCATAGTCTTGTCTCACTTTCGTAGGTATCCATCGCTGTGGTCGGTGTTCGTCAACGTCTATCGAGCCGGTGGGTTGTTCGGTCTGTATCGCGGTATTTTTCCAACGGTTTTGGGTTCCGTTCCATACGCAGGCACCAGCTTCTTCACCTACGAAACGCTTAAGCTGCTAAACAGAGGTGATGTTCATTCGACCGCGGCATCAAGTCGGTCAGCGCACATTGCTTAATGTTTTAGATCGCACTGGTAGAACCGAAAATGTTTTCGAAAAGCTTGGATTTGGCGCCATCGCTGGACTTTGTGGTCAGAGCGCATCCTACCCCCTTGACATACTTCGCAGAAGGTACGTTAAGTGCTGTTTTGATTTCGCGTTTTGTGTCCAGTAATACTGTGTGACTGACAGTGCGCCTCGAGATGTAAAGTGACAGTGTTGTTTACAAGTCGTTCTTCAATTGAGATGGTATGTCTCGTGTTTGAGTCGTCCACCTGCGTTGACTGCTAATAGCAGATATTCTTCATGAAAGCGATACCGATTATCTTTGCGATTGGTTAGGTATTAGTGTCCAGTGCGCTCCAGATTCCGTTAAATACGATTGATGAGGCCTGTGGGCGAAATACTCTATCATTTTACTTTATGAAACCTTCGCCATGCGCAATAGGCTGCTCACATTATAAGTGAATTTATTTGCTGCTTTTCACATAATGCTATGTCGTAGTTTGTCATTGTCATCAGAGTCTAACCGCTTAAACTGTCGAGTAGCTCAGATTTGTGATCTTTGTACCGTTAGTAACTGATCACTTTTGATCTCTGATAATTTCTTCAACTCATTTCGATACTCCTTAATGGGGCAAGTAACTTGGCTCTACGTCACAGAAGTGTTAAAGGAGTCAGCGCGACCGTTTAAGTTCTATGTTGGTTGGCTGCGAATTTTTTATTTCGGCTTCATTCTCTCACGGTGTTAATCGGCCACCGTGACATCGCTACTGCGAAAATGATGGCAGTTTTGTAAGGTGTTGGCAGTGGTCTGCTTCATGGCTGATAGTGACACTCCCCCATTCAGGTGTTTTAGTTCCTAGCAAATTACAAGTCGTGCCGATGTTGAACGGAGTTGCCGGGGTGCTCAGTTGGCAGAGCTTCTGATACCGAACCAGGAAGTTTCTAATTCGATCCTCGGTCTGGTCACTCGCTTGTTTTTCCTGAGATTGGTAAATGCACTCTGTGGGAAGAAAACAGGATGCATACTGCACCATTTTATAAGTTCCAGGTAAGTCACGTAGTATACGTCAGAATACTGTATCAAAGTTATATTTTGCTACTAAATTTGTCATAAATCATATAATTTGACGGGTTTTTAATTATTTCCCACAACATTTTCCCAAAATACCGCGGGTGTATTTCTCCCTTCCGCAACGAAGTTTTACTGCAATTCATTTACTGCAGAGTATTTGCACTGTTTACTAAAGCTGTTATTTTACAGTTTTAGCGATTGCTACATCCTGAAGAAACGCACCATTTTACGATCATACCAAATTGCCTGACAAAGTTCTGAGGCTGATTGTCCCTCTCCGCAGAATAGTTAATTTTTTTCTCAGTAAGACATCATACTTTATTTTGAAGGCGTCTCTAGGTTTCATTTCTTACCGATTTAAAAAGCGTATGAGCGTTTATTAACAGATTTAGATTTTTCATCTTGGAGCAATACCGTTTTGGTCCATGCCAACTCCTCTGTCTCCGATTAGCCGAGAGTTTCAGGGTTCATGCCGCTTTTGTGACTATCGATAACGTATTCTACCGTAATATGGTTGTCGATGCATGTGCCCATCTAAATTCGATTGATTAATAATGGTTTTATATATCACAGGCCTTTTCGTAGCCGAAACACTAGTAAGAGAAGGTTTGTTGTTTTGTCTTTCTTGTTTACATTCGGAAAGAGGAGAGAAAATACGAACGTAATCATGTGGTGGGGGTAGATCAAGACAAGATAATCGATAAACACATTTTTATTTTCGAAAGAAAACAACAAACCTAGGAGGTTTTGAAAGGGTTGCAAGAGAAGGCGTTCAGTCGCAATTTGATTAATTAATTAATCCCATAATTGAATGGATGCCTCGATATGCACGTGTTCGTGCACATGTGCTGCAGGCTCATGCGTGACTGCACTGTTCAACAGGCTGGGTAGATGCTTCCGTCATCCGCGTTGAGGTAGAAATTCTCAGGCACTAGAATCTCTTTCACGCCATTTCTCCGAAGTTCGTTCAAAGCGTTGCCGTTCAGTTCTACATACGCTCTTGTAAGTGGATGTTCTTCGCTGGGACAGTGTGCCACTAGCCAATCGTGCGCGATGGCGCCTCCGTACGGCAACCACTTTGTGGAACGCGTGTACACGAAAATCGGAATATTGGCCATCTGGATTGTCTGGCCGTTTATTGCGATGTAAAGTTTTAAAACGTATAGCACATTTTCACTTTGAAATGTCATTTCTGACTTTCAGAGGACCCACTGATAAAGCTGGTAATAATTGCTCACCAGATCAACTCATTCCTTGCAAATCCGAC